TTCATAAATTTATCTTTTCTTACTGTAAGTGCACTTAATATGACGTGTTACGGTAACTCTATAACTCAGTTTAAAAAAATTATAATTATAAATTTCTTGGTTAGTGTATGTTTGTTATTACTCGTAACCAACAAACAGTCACCATGTGTTAGTTGACTCTGCAGGAGATAATAGGAAAATAATCTATTGTTGCAGGCATAAGTCAGCAACTTATAGAAGAGAAAATCTATACGTACACATTGAGTCATCTATTTTTTTGGCAAATACCTTTGATGTACAAAATGTGGATAATCTGGTCTAAAGCGGTGTGCGATTTCCGTAGAGATAATGTTGCTCTTCCTGGTCTATGAAAGTGTTTGACAAGGATTGACCTGAGAATTACAAATGATTTGCATGAGAGTAAAAAGGTCCTTGCTCATTCTGGTTCATGGATGATTTTATTATGAACATAGAACTCATTAAAATTAATGAATTCCATGATGAGAAAAAAAGTAGACGGCTCTCCCTCCTCACGCAAGGTTGACCTCTTATATGAGAACTTGAAACGTCAAGCATTGATATCAACACAAGCACATACACACACATGTTTCTGATGAAGGAATAATAGATAGAATCACAATTAGTTTCTTTCTATCAATTAACCACCAATCAGCACCAATATGGCGTTTTTAACCTTCTAAACAGGGCATAATTTTTATGGAAAAAGAGAATGAAATGGATATTTACATTTAAAGAACATCTGTAGAGCATGTTGTGACGGATTTACAAAAACATAAGTCAGCCACTTTGCTTCCGCGAATACTCCGTGCAAGTTTCCTTTGAAGTTTTTTTGATGAGACCGTATATAACAAGGCTGAATCCCTCCAATCCATCACTGAAAATGAGTAGAGAGAGAAGTGACCCGGTGGTCTCCAAAAGTAAAGAGATGAGTTTTCACATGGAGTCTCATAATACCTTGGTAAAGTACTCTCCTCCTCAAGTTCCATTCTGCAGCCAGGGCGTTGCTACGAATCAAACTTGTGTGTCCAAAGGACAGCCGTCCACAACAGAAGAGGGACGAGGAGCACCCTCGTACAACCCCATGTTTTCGTCGGTGCTGAAACCACATGAAGTATCACACTTTGAGGCTCATTGGCTAAATACACATACACTAAATCAAAAGCTTTATCGTTCAACTGGGAGCTTTCTCCGGATCATTTGCCAATCACAGAAGTTTGTTACACAGATTTGGACGACGAGGAGTAAGTTATGGCGGTAACAGCGTCAGGAGATGGGGAGAATCGGAATACATAGATATGGATGGCTTCATGAAGGTAGGCTCTATTGTCAACGAGGCTGGTGTAAGTACCGGTTTTCTACCAAACCATCAGAACCAGTTAGGATCTGCAGTCAGGATTGTGGTACAGTCCAGTTGAAAGGGAGTCGTCGAAGGACTTTCTGTTGACAGCACTGTGATCCATTGAAACTCCTGCACATATGCAAAGTAGAAACAGTTAGGTGACATGTGAACTTACAGGCACTGTAGTGTAGGGTTCTGGAGAAGATTTGACAAGGGTTAATGGTAATTTATCGGACGACAGGAGACCATAAAGTATATTAAAATGGTGAGATGAAAGTACACGGAGGCGCAGCAGCAGCAGTAGTAGCACGTCATAAACACACTGAGCTTCAGTAAGAATGGTCTAAAGCTTCCACAACACCTCTACCTCCATGTACCCGCCCGTCTCATTTGTATGTACCGGCCTCTGTGACAGGTGACCTTCCAAGAGAAGGAAATGTCACTGAATCGGAATGTGAGACTTGCAGCGACGGCCACCTTTGACCATCCCTTGCATTATTAGGGGACTCTCCGTTGGAAGTATTTTCTGCTTCCGATCAGAATCTGGACAGTAGGTTCCTCTGATCGCTGCTCACATGTGTGATAGATAAGGGAGCTCAGCAACATTTCAACATATAAATGGAATTCGGTTACTAAACTTACTATTAGCAGAGGACATTGAGGACCATAAAGGCCCTAGGCTCTTGTATAGACTGCACTTCTGCTTTGGAAAGTTTGGGCGGTAAAGGCGATATTCTGGAGGCGGATGACATGCATTGCGTGCCCTGCTGATGAACCTTTTGTCTCTTAAAGAAACCTCATTCGCATTTCATGCCGACGCCTTGAACAAGTCTTTCCTTTGACCCACAGAGAAAGCGATGCAATTCGAAGAGGGATGCCTTTCAATGCAATGGCTTACTGCAAAAGATGATCACTAACTTTTGGGGTCGGTTATGCATTTTTAACTTTCTCTCCCTCCCCATTGGACGTCATTGCGGATCGAAGGAAGGAGGGCCGGGTCCAAAGCAACTTTCACTATGTCTCGGAAGATGGAATTACTGTCCAAGTTTGCAGATGTTGACATACTGCGTGGATGACGGGAGGATTGAGATAAAAGGGCCCAGAGGAGCTAAAGGAATCTCCTCAAGGACGAAAAGTGGTTTTCACTGTTATGGGATAGAATGTTTTGTTTGCTCTGAGGGGTCGGGCTTGATGCCTCCAAGCTTCCGTCTTCGGGATGCTTGACAAGCGTTTTGGCTAAGAATTTCAGAAAATGCAAACGATGCAAATACTGATTTGAGAGATGGTGGAACGTCTCGGACGATCCATCGAGGACTTGCTTCCGAGGGGCCGAACTTTTTCCGCTGGAAGTTGTAAGTTTCGAGGCACCGTGTTCAGCGCGAATGGAGTGTCGCGAAGTGGCGCAACAAGGAGCGTGGCCGGCGTGCACACCGGCGGCTGGCAAGCCCCATCGAATAAAAGGCTTAGTTCTACTCAGATCTGAACAGCACCGGCCTTTTCAGCCTAACCTGGCTCACCATTTTCAAGCATTTCTCTAACAAGTGAAAGCATCACACGAAAATTATTGTTATCCTTCGCTAATTTTGATACTTATCCTTCTTCCATCACCAAAGATAACAAGATTCTCTTCACGCACTCATCAATTCTCCAGAATGTCATACAAAATACCTGGCTGGCAATCTGTCAACGTTGCAGCGTTGAAGTTATAGGGTTCAGACAATCATTTATGTTTGTCCCCTGCTTATGACAGGCAATATGCAATATTCTCCACGAATAACCCTCGAACTAAAAGAAAAGAAAAGAAAAGAAAAGAAAAAAGAGGAGCAAGAGAAAACAGACGAAGATCAAATATCAGATCAAATCTGCTGAGAAGACGACGTATCTGTACTAAATGCCGTAGAGTCAACACGATACGGGCAAAGTTAAGAAAGCTTCTTCGGAGTCCGAGACATCGGATTCAAACTAAGATCGATGGTCGATCCAAGTTTTCCCTCTTTGTTTCGGTGCGGACGAATTGGGAAAACTTTTCGTCGGTTTTCAACGCTGAATCATTACCAGAAACTCAGTGCAGGGCTTTTGTCTTCCCTGCCAGAATCACGTCGCTGAGGTTCGCACGGCGGAATAAATCGCTCGTCGTATGCTCGTCAGCTGGAACGGAGCCAACAGATTTCTCTGGTTCCGCATCGTCGTGCAGCGGAGAAGATTGTGACGGGAACATGAAGCACCGCCATGCTTCATGTCTTGCAGAACTCCGATTCAGAGACGCACCACGTCATCTCCGCCACGTCACGCGCGAGAGAGCCAGCGCATCGCGATTATCCTCCTCCGAACCGCGTCCATCTGGCAACCTAGTGCGTAGATGGTGATGATACGGCAGCACAGCGTATGATGTCCTTCCTTAAAGTCTGTCCTTTCTCTAAATTTGGCCACTCACCATCTTCGAGGCTTCTGTCTAAAGGCGAGGATCCGAGGAAAGTAGTGACCACTGAGCGTGTAGAAGCTGTAGTAGAGGACCCCTAAACATTGGAGGCAGGCAGGTTAGTGTCTGAATAGCAGCTTAACCAATTGGTTAAGCTGACCCCAAATAAAGCCGGGGGACTTCCAAATGTGGAGAGAGATGGCGGTTCGGTCAAAAGGTCCGTAGACTCTTGCTCGCCGGGGAGAATGGGACGAACAGAAGTGGCCTCATTGAATATTTTTGGACTGGCAGACCACGACCAAAATTGTGGATCGAGTTGTGAATTAGTTTACAATTTTGGGCATGTCCTCGTTGTTTGTTTTGTTGGAGTTTAGATCAGAGTGCCTAGGCTGCCATGCACCCATGCCCTCGTTATCGTGGGATGCATCGGCAGTAATGCGCAGATAAGACATACAGAAGAGTGTCTGATAGCTCGAGTCAACAACCTCGAAAGAATGAAGCGAACAAATGTGGTTGGCTCAACTTTTGGTGATGCCTAATGACGAGAAAAGTGTATGTGAGATTTTTTTTCAAGCATATCTCTTCAGCCTGGTGATGATGGTCAAAGCACTTATGTTGACACAAGGTAGGAAACAGGAACCTTTGGGAAGAGAACTTGGACGTTCAGATCTCAAAAAGACAAGGTGGACCACAAGACTTGAGTTCAAAGGCAAACACTCTTCTGTTTGAAAGCTTTGACGATTAAATATGAGATATCTCTCACTTTTCGCGTGTTGCTGTAACTTTAACCGTTTTTGTTGCTTGATAGGAAAGATGGAAAGTGTTTCGAGGTCTGTTTTTATTTAAGAAGCAACGGATTGTGATCAAAACTCCCATTGACAACATCACACCCGAGAATGCAAACAAATATTTAAAGTCCTAGAGCCGATTGACCCCATTCCAAACCACAGTCAATCTTCTAAGCTCTTGCTGTTGGGCAACTGTCCAGCTACTCGAAGCGTACGAGAGCAACTATTCTCACGAAAAAACTAACGCCTTGTGGCACCTATATGTTATGTTCCTAAGTTTCAGCCACATTTCTAGTGTTATAGAATCAGGTTGAGTTGATTGGTTCTATATCACACTTTTATCATTTTCTAGTAGTTTTCTTTTCCTTCGAGCATCCAACTCTGCTGCTCCACCTTTGTTTTTGGTTGAGGCCTTACTCTTTCACAATTCCTTTTGGAATGGCTCATGACTTTAGGTCTTCACTTGCTCCGCTAATTTATTTCATTTTGACCATCATTGGAAACTTTACAAACAAAAGGAAGGCAATTATTACGAGCCAGCATAGACATAGAGAGATTCGGACCGACTAGGAGACTGAGTTTGTCCATCTCATGATTTGATTCCTTGAGAAACTTCTGCTTCCGCGTTCGTACCAAGTATGCAACATTTCTATTGACGAGTCTCCTAGGGAATAGGATGGAGGCAATCCTACATCCTACATTTCATGTAAGATTCATGTCTAGAGAGAGTTGGGACTTCATACACATATATTGTCAACCTTCTGTGGTACGACTGCGTCCAATCCTCTCGTACATAGTTGCATCAATCTCTTTATCTTGATAATGCATGACCAGCACCAAGGGTTTGTGGTGGCACAACTTTCATACCATATGCATGAGGCACGTGGCCAAGAACTTGGGCCCTCTAACCGCATGAAGGATCAGTGTGACACTACCATCGATCAAGGCAGGTAAAAAGAAAGATGATTTCCTATAAGATGGGGAAAGTAAGCTAGTTCTTGGAATTAATGATCGCTTTACAGCGTACAGGAATCGGGATCCATCACAAATGCATACACTTTCCACTTCAGTTACGGAAGAAAAATCGAGGCATGAGCTCGGCAGTACGATCGACGTCAATGATGATCGAGAGGAACGTTTCGGTTCGTATTCGAGTATCTACGTAGGGTTTGAAAGCAATGCTCGAAGGTGGAATCGGAAAACAGAGGTTCGGATCGTTCAAGCAGCGGGATCTTTTAGATTTCTGAAGATAACCTAGTCGAAGGAATGGAGGAGGTAAAAGAGCTTCGCAATCGACCTCCGTATGCGAAGGGGAGTAGAAGCCATCATGAGAGACAGCAAGAGGAAAATAAAAGTTGTCGTAGGTAAGGAAATAAGTGCCGAGACTTCGGAACTTGGTGACCGCAAACGAAGAGCAGTGATATGTTCCGGACGTGAGAAAATGTATAGAACATGCGCAAACGCATGAGCTACACATCTCTTTTCACAATCTTTGAACGCTTTCGTACCTCTCGCCACGAGTAAATGAGCGGTTTAATGACCCACTCGCTCACGGGTCACGGCAGGCACCTCTGCTCCCTCCGTTCTCGCTGCATCTCCCAGCCCGACCCCGCCCGGTCGCCCCCGAGGAATACTTTTTAACGGATTCAATAATCACAATTAGTGCAAAGCCTCCGCGAAACAAATTTCCCGTCCTATCTGCTTTTCCATGAATCGAAGGCCGGCACAAAACTCCAGAACCGGCACGCCTTCCTTCGCGGTGCTAACTCTGGTTCCATTCCATTCATTCCCCACGCATTCATTCATGCACAATCGAACGATCCAGAAGCAGGACTTTCAAATCCTTCACGAAGCTTTGGCGATGGCGAATGACGCGAAGTTTTGCCTCACGCGAGCATTCAATTCGTCGTGGCTCCTCATTGGGGGGCCATCGGGGGATGGCCCGGCCGCTATCGAAGCCGTTAGCCGGGAGCGGTAGATGGAAATTCGAATTCCGAATTCCATTTCATTGATTTCTTCTTTTGGGAGACATTTGGGAGTTCGGCCAGAGTTAACCACGGAGTCTGGTTAAACTGATCCGAGGTTGGGATCCCGGCCGAAATCCCGGTGCTGCTAAACCCGCGGTTGGACCCACCAGGGGGCTTTGCTTAGCGTCAGACCGAGCCCCCGACAATCGCCGGGCACCTCAGCCGAGGGAGTGTCAGCATGTCGCGTTCTCGGCCACGTGGGATTTCTCCTGTCTTTGTTTTCCTCCGTTCTGATGATTAACCGGCAGGATCCACATTATCCACTTTCTGTTCCACCGTCGATCTCGGGGGTATCGACCATCTTCCGCTTGCGGAGTTAGATTCTCGGCTCCGCCTTGGATCCTACGGTTTCGGTCCGGGTTTGGAAAGCCACGTTGCGGTCGGCAGACCCGCTGCCGCTATTTCCGCGGGGTTCTTGTTACACTGGAGACGACACCTCACCGGGCGTGGGATCGTCAGATCCCTGATCGGACGGCGGAGTCTCTTGTTTTGCACATTAATGAAGTCTCCAGCGGTAGGTCAGGCGAGCGAGCGACAGAGTGCGAGAGAATCCAAAGCCCCGCTCCTGTCCCCGGTTCGCGGTTGCCTATAGCCTTTGCTGGGAGGCTCGACCGGAAGGGCTCGGCCGGTAATCCATACGTCGTACGAGTACGCAGAAAGTAGGCTCCATCGTTCCTTCAGCATGTACTCTCGACTCGACTCCCCATTTCCGCTTCAGAGGCTTCTTGACAACCCTTTCACACGCGCGGAATGGGTAGGAGCTCAAGTCAGTGAACGAAGCCAAAACTCTCCGTAGAAGAGGGTTCTTAAGAACATGACGACGACATGTGGATTTTAGCGGCGCTAATTTTTGCTCGCCCAGTTCGACGTCACTCTCGTTAGAAACTGCCTCCCACCTGCTTGCCCGGTCACGACACCGTGAAGTCTGGTAACTCGACCTCGTAGTGCACCGAAACGACCGAGCTCAGCGGTGATTGACTGGCTGTGCAAGTCCGGATCCATCCCCCGGGCCGCGTCCATTAAACTACGGAACGAAAGTAGGAGCCGACTGGATTTTATATTTCGGAGGGACGACGAAGTACATTTCCCCTGGCACGCGGTGTACTGTACAGTATGACATCATGGACGATGCGGAGAAACGAAGTCGGCCAATATTGGGCCCCCGAAACGAAAGCGGTCGTCGGCAACTCCCGCCGGTTCGGGTGTTGGGGAGGGGAGGTGGGCAGTAGAGACTCCCGGGCGAGTACACCAGTGTACGTACTGAACTTCCCGGTCACCCTACAAGGGCAGAAAACCGATCGGAGCGGTGAATCCGATGGACGAGGCAGCGTCGGCCGGATTTAGTATCTGACGGCTGGGAACATGGTAGTTTGACTTGATGGGCAGGCGACCACGCATCACAGTCGTATCCTGTAGGCAGCTCAGCGTGGGCGGGCGTAGGGTAAATTCTGGAAGTTACAAGGGGCGTGGAGAATTTATTACACTGGCATGGCAGTCCAGGTTTTCTCTCTGTGCTGCTGCTGCTGCTGGAGAAGGGGCGAGGAAGAAGCACGAGGAGGAGGGGGGGATGATGGCAGCGGGGTCAGTGGGCGACTTGAACAAGCCAATGCCGGAGATGGTGGACGTGGGGCAGTACTTTTGCCGAAGGCCCAGCCAGGCCAGCCCGGCCGAAGAAGCGAGTCCGGGCGAGGAGCGGTTCAATGCGGGAATGTAGTGCAGCGGCGAGAGGCGAATCGTTCGGAGCTTGTCGTCCTGTTGTGGTTGGGAGGGGCCGGGAAAGGGTGGTGGTCGAATTTGTTTGCACCTTTGTCTCCGAGAGAGGAGAAGTGAAAGAAGGAAGGAAAGACGAGACGAGACGAAGGGGGAGGGTATTGGTGGTGGTGGTGATGGTGGCGGTGGACAGGGGGGAAGAGGATAACTTTAGCCGAGTTTTGTACAGCGATTAGGACTAGGTTTTCCGTGCGGGTATAGCTTTTTTTGGGCGGTCTTTGTCTGCCTGTTTCTCTTTCTTTCGCCTCCCTCCCATTTTCCTGGTCGAGTGTTCTCTCTGCTTTTAACTCCTCTGAAGAGGGCGAGAGACACAGACAGACAAAGACTCCAACTTCCTCCTCACTGCGTGCATCAGTGTCTCTCCCCGTCCACTGCAAAGAAACACCTCTCTCTCTCTCCCTCTCGCTCTCGCGGAGCAGACTTTCTCGCTCTGCTGTATAGCTCGTCACCGAGAAAAATAGTCATTCGACCGGTGGTCGGCCACCGTGACAAAGGTCATATGAGGATTGTTGGTGATTTGTATGACAAATGAGAGTATGACGAAAGGTGAAGCTGGTTTGAGGTGAATGCCATTGCTTGCACGCCCAGGAGGTGCCAAGCGGAGGAGGAGTGGAGTTGCAGTTGGTGTGTAACTCGTGCTTTTGGAGGAAACAGGGGAAGTGCGGTTTTTAGAGCGGATTCCATTATGGAGAAAGTCTAGGGCGGTAGTAACTATGGAGCGCGTGAAGGAACCGGGAGCTCTAGAGAATTTCCGCAGAGAGCAGTGCAAAGGAGGGGGGAATATGGAGAAGAACTGCTCGTAGGTGAAAGGAGAAAATTGTTTAGAAATATCCAAAGGAATTCACAGCGGAAATGGCTTGCATGAAATTGGGGTCCAAGGCAGATGGATTCCAGCGCCGAGGACAAGCATGGTAATTTGTTCATACCTCTCGAGATCATCGGCCAAGTTAGGCAGTTCATGCGGAGGACTGAAAACTCTTCTTACCTTCGCCAGTATTTTGACACCTCGCCCACGATGCCTTTCAGTAGAGTGCCCTTAGAGGCGTCTTCTTGAGTCATCTCGTCGTCTTGAGAGTTGAACTGAAGACATTATTCACCCGTCTGTCTGTGACAGGTTTTGCACCACAGGCCTTCCCAGCGACATCGTCATCGAAGTCGAGCAGATGTCCTTTCACCTACACAAGGTAAATATCACGTGAGCTAGAATTTTCTTCTGAAGGAGGCACTTGTCAGAGGCAGTGGTTCTAATCTTTGGTTTGCCATGCCGAATGCAATATTCTCCTTCGAGGAGGAGTTTGTGACCCTGCTAGCCCGCAAACTCCTCTCGCAATGTCCTACGCGAGGTGAGGGCGACGGACGCAGCTTGGTGTCCTCCTCGTGGATCTGTGCATCCGAAGAGTGACGGTTGTTTTTGGTCGGGCACGGAGTCCATGACGTGCACATATTTTACGTGGCGTAGATCTCCGTTCCACCAGCTTCGATTGGCCTTGTTGACTAGACCTTCCCATCGCGTCAGGCTAAGTCTTGCTAACCTCGGTTCACCGTTGTACAAATGTGTTCAGTTTCCCCTTCTTTCCAAAAGCGGGAAATTAGCGAGACTAGTAGCGGAGAACTCGGACGAAGAAACTGGAGCTTGCCAGATACATTTGCAAGACATTCCTGGTGGCACTGAGGCGTTCGAATTGGCTGCCAAGTTTTGCTACGGTGTGAAGGTGGAATTGACATCGGCCAATGTCGCCTCGTTACGATGTGCCGCCGAGTACTTGGAGATGACTGAAGAGTTCGGTGAGGGGAATCTTATTTCGAAAACAGAAAGTTTCCTGAACCAGGTGGTCCTTCGGAGCTGGAAAGACTCTGTCCGAGCGCTCCAAAGCTGTGAATATCTTCTTCCCGAGGCAGAAGGCTTGGGCATCGTGAAGAAATGTGTTGACTCTATATCGATGAAAGCCTGCGCGGACCCAAGTTTGTTTGGTTGGCCGATGATGGAACACCATGGCACGCTTCAAAGTCCCGGGGGCAGTGTTTTGTGGAACGGGATCAGCACAGGTGCAAGAGGGAGGAACTCCCGGTCCGATTGGTGGTACGACGACATTGCTTCCCTGAGTCTTCCTCTATACGAGAAGGTCATCAGTTCTATGGATATGAAAGGCATTAGGCCTGAAAGCATCGCCGGGGCACTGATGCACTATGCGAAGAAGGCGCTCCCGGGCCTGCACAGAAGGCAGAGCGGCAGGGAGAATGGGGCCCTTGCTATCGTGCCTCTGGGAGTTGCTCCCTCTGAAAACGATCAGAGGCTTTTGTTAGAAACAATTGAAAGTTTGCTGCCCATGCAAAAGGGCGTCACCTCCAGCCGGTTTTTATTCGGGCTGCTGCGAACGGCGATGATATTGAACGCGAGCCCCGAATGCAAAAGTAATCTAGAAAGACGAATTGGGATGCAGCTGGAGCAGTCTACCCTAGACGATCTACTCATGCCCAATTATTCCTACACGGTGGAAACCTTATATGACATTGAGTGCGTTCAGCGCATTTTAGATCATTACATTTTATTGGATCAAACACCGGGGGCTCTCTCCCCTCATTCTTTGGAAGACGGGCAACTTGTCGGTTCTCCTAGTCTGACACCCATGATGATGGTTTCTAAACTTATGGACAACTATCTTGCTGAAGTAGCACCGGACGTGAATCTGAAGCCGAACAAGTTTCAGGCTCTCGCCGAGGCACTTCCTGAGTATTCTCGTCTGTTTGACGATGGCTTGTACAGATCCATCGATATATTTTTGAAGGTAAGCCTCTCTCTTTTGTCACGTACAGTTTTCCCACCTTGATAAGATATCACCATACACGCGCGAATTGAGGTCGTCATCACTAATGCGCATCCTCTCGGGTTTATTCGTCTTCGCTAAGAATGTACTATATTTCGTTTGTTTTTCACCCAGTTCTTCGTCTGGACTAGCTTTATAATATGATGTGTTAATTCGATTGCCGATCCTGCGGAGTGTAACAAGATATCTTGTTGGGGTTATCCCTGTCAGTCTGTTACGTCTTGGTGTCTCTGCTTCACTTGAGCACCAAATGCACTTCCCATCTAGCCAAGAGATCGATTTGTTTATCATCTTGCTCTTTCAGTGTTCTCGATGTGAGCCAGTTCTGCTAGCATGTCACCCTCCTGATTTTTGTAAGAAGGAACGAACTCTCATATCTGTCCACACTTCCATCGCAGGCACATCCATGGCTTACAGAGCAGGAGCGCGAGAGGCTTTGCAGAATTATGGATTGTCAGAAGCTTTCATTAGAAGCCTGCACTCATGCCGCCCAAAATGAGCGCTTGCCACTGCGGGTGGTCGTGCAAGTCCTCTTCTTTGAGCAGCTTCAACTGCGCACTGCCATCGCCAGTGCTTTCATGGTGACTGATACTGTGGACACATCCAGACCTGTTGCGCGGACTGGGCCCCTCGATGGCGGTGCTCTTGGCGGTCATCCTGGGCTTCGTGGTGACGGCTGGGCTAATGTGATTCGAGAAAACCAAGTTCTGAAGGGAGACATGGACAAGATGAGAACGAGAGTCTCCGAACTCGAGAAGGAATGCACGACTATGAGGCAAGAGATAGAAAAGCTCGGCAAGCCTAAGGCGGCTTCCTTCAACACCTTCGGGTTGGTCACTAGAAAGCTTGGCTGCAAGGCTCGTTCGCAAGTAAGCACAGCCAACACGTTGGAAGGCATAGCAGAGCATTATCCCGTCGAGAGTGCCGGCTCAAGAGGAGAGAATGTCATGCCTGAACACCATCGTGAGAAGCCTTCAAGACATCATCACCATCATCATCAATCGAGACACAGTCGGAGTATGTCCGTGTCTTGAATCCGGGTGTATAATTAGAGGCAGTATCTTCTTCGCTCAAATTTAGTCGCGGGAACGCGAGTTACAGTGTCAGTCTCTTCGCTAGGACGGGTGTTCGATTGAATTTTGTCACTGGGGAATAAGGACATAGTTGGGACCACAGCTGCACGACAAGTGCTCTGTTGGTAATGATCCACATTCTGGGGAGGGAGCTCAAGGAATGCCCAATGAGCCATCGGAGTCTCCTAGCATATAGAAGGCACTGTCTGTCAGCTTTGGTCCCAATTTGTGTGGTTTATCACTTAAAGGCTGTGGCATGTTTTTGTAGTTTCATGCTTACGATCTTTAGGTGAGTAGGGCTGTTGAAAACCCGAGTCCTTGAGCAACTTCTGCAATTAGAAGGTGATTTTCTCAAAGACTAAGCCAGTTAACTATTCATGTTGGAGTGGAGGGCACCGTGTGCAGGGGTCTCCTCTGTACTGGCAATGCCGTGGAGACATCGAGCATTTTCATTTATTCATTCAGTGTATGTATATTGTCTTGACCGTGTACAAAATCCGTTCGTGTGCCTGGTGACACGGCACCTGAGAAGTTCGAACATTCCAAAAGCGTTGTCATGGAGCCTTTGCTTTTTGCTGCATTTTGTCATTGACGCAAAGGATCGAGTTTCCGACAACCTCTGTCATTTCTCGTGTTTCTGTCTCTGGCCCAAGAAACTTTGGATGTTGGATTACAGTCTCAAATGACTGCTGTCTCTCTGTGCTGACAGCAGGCCTTGATTTTCTTGTGCAGTGCGAGTACTGTAGGTCTCGATGTTATCCCTTTTTGTAGGACTTGTGATTACACTTGGAGAACAATGGTGGCTTAACTATTGCATGCTTAACTACTCCAGTATACAAGCCCGTCGGACTTCTTCAGAGACTTCTTGAGATGATATTACCGGAGGACTGATATCAAAGAGACACGAGGGGAAACGATTTTGGATCTCTGTACTTCTTCATTTCGTTCTTCGTGAAAAGTGGAGAGTCAAGTCTCACAAGTTGGAGAAGTAGTTCGCAGTTTTTTCTTTCGGCATCGTCGAGCACACAGCTTCATGAGGGGAAGAAGTCGGAGGCACACACATCCTGCGCTTCAACTCTGCCCAACTGCTCGGTGGAATGGTTATAACTCATGGAATCAAACGTTCCCGACCGACAGCCCTTTCTAAGAGGTCAAAACGACCTCTTGGGCTTCACATTTTCACCGAATCTACTTTCATTGCGCAGCAATTTTGTCTCATCCGATAGACGTGCCCGGCCTACCAATTCTGAAGTAGGCCGAGCATCAGGATTCCGAAGTGCTTCGTGGCAGTCTGTGCGATATGTGTAGATTGGGACGTGCCGCGGCATCCAAATCAATCCTTCACTGAAGTTGACCCTCCGATGAATTCGAAGGACTTCGAAGTGAACGACTTTCGAATGGGCCCCAACAACCGAGTAGCCTGAGGTGACAGTAAGTACGGACCCCATACTGAATGTACCCAATGCCAATAATTTCACATTTCCCTCTCGAGTCGCTGTTTTGACTCGAGAGGAGTCGAATCCTCTCTTTGACGGCTACGTCTCCAAGTGGCCACCGGTTCTGTCGGTCGACGATGTTCGAGGTCCATGAACTCGATCTATGTCCTCAAGTGGACTCGTCCAAAGGCCACTAGGCGAGCCTTGCACTCCCCTTCCCACCGCAGAACTCAAACGGGTCCGACGAGGCGAGAAAACTTACCCGCAAAAGAAGGAACCAAACTTAACCCGAGCCATTGGTTTAGACCAAAGCGGGAAGAGCGCCCGGGACTTGTTTCGATGTGCGGGACAGAACGAAGAGCTGCCCCTGCACCGGGACGGAGATAGGAAGAGGGTGATGTTCCGAAGCCTCGGAGTCCTGTCTTATTCGCGCGAGCCAAGACAAGCACGTGAGAATACTTTAATGACCTACGCCCCTTGCCAAAAGCGGACCCGACGCGACGGACCTGCGGACGCAAGCGGCCGGAGCACAGGAGCACTGCCCTGCTGACTGTGCCCGCCCGACGCTGACGACGACGACGACGAATCGCTGTCGGTCGATTCAGCAGTGCTTCTGTCGAGGACTGATGGAGAAAGCGATGAGCCCGGAGTCCACTGCGCTGGTGCAATCGGACCGTCCGTACGACGGAGCCTCACCAGGTAAGGGAGCCGGGGAGCTACCGGGCGCCGGAGTCGGTCACCAGACACAGCCCACTCAGTCGTGGAGTAATTGTACACGTGGCAGACCTCGACCGGCCCTCGCGTTCGCTCGTCATACGACTGGAGGTCCTGTGAGGGGCAGATCGAGCGCCCGTGTCGGGAGGTGGGACCGCATCGGGGCCTCGGGGCCTCGGGTTGGCTTTTCGACGCCCTCGTCGAGTCAGGCGAGACGTTTGCAACTATTCTATCGTCGACGGAAAGTCGGCCGGAGTTTCGCAGCCCCTGTCGATCGATCTGAACAGGCGACGACGAAGGGTCATTTTCCCCTGTGGTGCTCAGGCCAAGCTCAGGCCGTGAATTTCACTAATTCTTCATCCATTAAAGTTTGCGCAACCAAAATCAGATCGGCGCACAATTAGGTATTTCCCACAGATTTTACATCCGTGTGGCCCTCCATCGCTTTAAATAAAAAATACTTCCAAGAGATAAATTATTGTCATAGGTTTTGATGGCTGCGTGAGTTACTCCTAGGGGTTATGAAGTCACCTTCCAGTTCGGTTTACTTATGATTAATTATTATTTATTGCCGTGAAAAGTAGTCAAGGTCTTGGTCTTGGCAGGGAGTAAGTGGATCCGGCAATATTTTGGTAGGCCATGTGACACGCCCCCTTGTATGGAGAAAGGCCGTCACTCGGTGGCCCGGTCACACGGTGGCCGGTTTCGTGGTGGAGAGAGGAGAGAGGCAAGAGGAGTGACCGGTGACCGGGCGGGAGGAGGTGGACGAGGTTGCCGAGGAGGAGGAGGAGCGGCAGCAGGTGGCGGTGAGTGGGTGACGACGACGACGAAGGTGGCCTTTTGAACTTACCCTAAAAGTTGGAGACGAGGGGTCGCATTGATTGACTGGCTCTTTGGCGAGGAAGGCAGAGGGAGGTGACGAGGACGAGGGCGAGCAAGCAGCACGAGCAGCAAGAGCAGGAGGACGTCTCTTCTGAGGCCAGACGATCTGTCCATCTGTGTGTTGCAGATCGACTACGCGACCACAATTTCCGGTCGTCTCGCTCTCTCGGTCTCTCTCGCTCTCTCGCGTAGTGGAGGAGGAGGAGGAGAAGGAGGAGGAGGATTAGGACGAAAGCAGCTGCAGGGCTGAATTATCCGTGCAGAGCCGAGGTTGCGCACGGCGGACGAGCGTCGACGACGACGAGAGACGAGTGGTGCCCGCGGACGACGAAGAAGCGCGGGGAGGCGCCGGAGCAGAAGCCAGGAGCGCGAGAGATAGCAGCAGGCAACCATGCAGGCGTCTCACTTGCTTCTGGAGGAGCCGATCCGGCTGGCCTCCATTCTTGAGTCTTCCACTCCCGTGAGTACCAAGGCAAGGGGTTTCGGTTCTGGTTTTCGGAGCGCGCTTTGGGAGTCGTAGAGGATTTGTCGTTTTTTTTCTACTTCCGTGGGATTTTTCTTTTGATCAAGAGTTTTGCTAGCACATGCGATTGCGATGGAGTTGGGCGTCGATTTTCGTGACTAGAGTTGGAATTTATGGGTTCTATATACAGGGGAGTTTCTGGAACAGGAGGGGGATGTATCACGAGCATAACTTGAGTTCTTGGCAGTGTAATTTGATATGGATCTAGTTTCCTTGATCTGTGTGGTTCGAGTAGCTTGTTCGCCTCGCCTACAGTGCTGGTAATTTGTCGTCGTGGTCGTCGGCCGCTGGAGTTTTACTGTATTCTGAACTTGGATTGCCTTCGTGTTTTAATTCCCTCTGTATGACAACCTTAAGTTGCCTGTCGATCCGCGTGGAACATCTTCAATTAGCTGCGATTCGTCGTCTGCGCTGTAAACTCTTCTAGGCTGTACGATCCTCCATGCACTGCGGAGCTTGCGGCCACACGCAAGCTGGAAGTTCCGAATGTGTCTCCTTCACCATCTTCCTACCTCTCGTTTTTAACTGGTAGAATTGCCTTACACTACTGCGCTGCATTCGAAGCGTCAGTTACATCAATCGCCGACGCTTGCCACAGGAGAGTAAATGTGCAGCGTTCTGGCTGCTCCTGTTTCTTGGAGATTTCAAACTTTCCACTGCTGATGACTTTCATCATGTGTTCTCAATCGTGCTGTCAGTAATGGTAGTGCAATTTCCCTTCCGATTTACATCTCATGTATTAGATTCTGGATTCAATTCAGAAGTTGTGAGTGTTGCAGGATGAATTGTTGGATGATAGTCAAATCCTCCAACTTCAGTTTGCCTTCACCACGACTGGAGACCCGTTGAGTGGACAAGTACTGAACCTTTGAACCCCTTCTGCCTTTCGTCACAAACCACAAGCTAAACTGGTAACATGAACTAAAATCACGTTCTAATGATAATTCCATTCTGGATCCTGGAGCCTGATTCATGCTTTGATTTGTAGCTTATGTACCCTTCATTCTGCCATCATTATCAGTAACGCACATGCGCTAACTGACGCACTACAGCAAATTTGGATCCGCTGCCCCACGGGATCGTTAAATGAGCCCCTGAATTCATGAACTTATTCCTACTGCCGGGACGTGTAATACCCAAACCATACCAAGCCCCTCGTGATTGATGTTCTCTGCAACAATCTATCGCAGGACAGGGTTGACGTGAAGCTTTCTGTGGCACCAGCACCTCCAAGAGATCCCTCTCAGCCAAACCCAAAAGTAACCTCCTTTTTCCCGTCGCTATCACCCGGAAGTTCCTACGCGAGCACAACTCAAACATAATTGGCGGTCCTCAGATGTCCTTTTGGATTCACCCCGTTTCAAGGCCAATCTATGAGATCTGTTTCGACATGATATGATTTCAGAATATCACAATCTGACGTGAGGATGCGAAAGGTTCATATAGATGATTGAGCTTGCGTGCCGCGGCTGCTGACGGTTTATTTTCATCTGGCTCTGCAGAATGCCTTTTCTTCCATGACGAAGATCATTGGAACTCTTGGACCCAGCTCACGTGATGTGGAAACTATCGAGAAACTCCTCAATGCTGGCATGTCAGGTAGTCATCTGTCCCGCATTAGGGCCGAGCCGAAATTGCTCTGCGTTTTACTGCGCGATTTTGCCTGAGTACATGAATTGGCTGTTGGAGATGCTGAGATTATGTGCAGTCTAATATGTTACCTCATGTCGGGTTCCTAATTTTGTAATTTCGGGAACTCTATTTTTTTATTTTAAAGTTTCGTGACTTAACTTTGTCACGTCCTTTTAGTGAGCTGTCAAGAGGTTTTGTCTCGTGGATAGCTCCGTAGGAAGTAAGAGAAGAGGACATATCGGAGCCTTATTTCGGAGTATTTCGGAGGTCACACATTCCACCGCTTCTAGCTTGTATGGCACTTATCGTTGACTTGGAAAATCATACGGGTCGTTGCCACCAGACTCAGATCTCTCATTGGACGCTATGTGATTTCTACCCTATGTTCTCTTACATGTTCTGTCTTGGCAGTCGCCCGTTTTGATTTTTCATGGGGAGACAGCGACTTTCACCAAGAGACCCTTGACAACTTGAAGAAGGCTGTGAGGAACACAAGAAAGCTCTGTGCAGTAAGTTTTCTAACGCCCAGTAGCAAGGACTTGAAAATATGAATTCTTGGAGTAGCGTTTGTGGAAGGTTTCGCTTTTCCAATCTGTTTTCTCTGGCATGTGTGGTATAGCTGGCATGTGTATACGCCGTGCACGTTGAGAGTACATCACGGCACACATTTTTTGAAGTGCATTCAAGGATTGACGTCCTGCAAACCTCGTGCGAAGTATACTCATAGCTTGGTTGTTCAAACTCATCAGGTGATGTTCGACACAGTTGGGCCTGAGCTACAAATCATCAACAAGGGTGAGGCACCCATCAACCTAGTTGTTGACGAATTCGTCGTGCTGACACCAGACGCAACGCAACAGGCTTCGTCAACGACTTTACCTGTGAACTACCCGGAGTTAGCAAGTGTGAGTATGCCTTTTATGTCGTGGATTGATTTACGTCATCCACTCACGTCACATGTGAAAGAATCAAAGGTACCAAAGAATCAAAATTCGGAATTCGACCTCGTCAACAAAGAGTGGTAACTAAGCCAGTTAACAGCTTTTATTTATCAGCTGCATCTGTTTGGGTGCGGAAAATAGTTCGAGCATTTGCTTATATGTATTAGATAGACTAGGGAATCCGTGGTTTAGGGTAGACCCTTAACGACGGATTACCCACCAAAAATCTCGAGTAATTGATTTTGTGCGGGATCTGGCGACCTGCTTGTTTTGTAGGTTGTCAAGCCCAAGGATACCATTTTTGTTGGTCAGTACTTGTTTACCGGGAGCGAGTCGACTTCCGTATGGCTCGAGGTGAAACTTCTCTATCTTCCCAACTTGCTACGTCGAAAACTTGATGCATGCCTTTTCAGTATCTCCTTCGTCTTGCAGTGGTACTTATCTTCTGTCTTTCTCGACAGGTTATGGAAGTGCAGGGCCCAAATGTGAAGTGTTTGGTGAAGAATTCTGCGACATTGACTGGAACTTTGTTCACCGCACACGCAGCGGGAGTTCCTGTTGGTTTACCAACACTCTCTGACTTCGATAAGGAGGTATACATTTCTATATAATCGTGGGTTTTGTCCACGCGAGACGATCTTGTGGGAATGCGTTCGTTTCCGGGCCTTTTGGTGGTTCGGTGGGCTGTTTGCCGCTGTGTTTATGTAGTAGCTGACGGCTGGTATGAATGTTTATTGGGGTGTTTCTGGTTTGGAGATGACATGTTTTCTTTGAGATGTGCAGGTAATCTCAAAGTGGGGGGTGAAGAACAGCATCGACTTTATTTCTCTGTCATACACCAGGCATGCTGAAGATGTTCGCCAGGCCCGGTTACATCTGTCAAAACTGGGAGATCTCTATCAAACTCAGATATTCGCGAAGATCGAGAATATCGAGGGCTTGAAGCACTTCGATGAGATTTTGAAGGAGGCAGACGGTATTATCCTGTCTCGTGGCAACCTCGGTATCGATCTTCCCCCAGAGAAGGTGTTTCTGTTCCAAAAGGCTGCCCTTCACAAGTGTAACATGGCCGGGAAGCCCGCCATTGTTACTCGAGTTGTCGACTCAATGACCGACACCCCTCGACCCACTCGAGCTGAGGCAACCGATGTTGCCAACGCCGTCCTTGATGGTGCCGACGGTATATTACTCGGAGCGGAGACACTTAGGGGTTTGTACCCTGTGGAAACCATTACAATTGTTCAAAAGATCTGTGCAGAGGTGAAGATTTCACCTTTACCTCGTTTCATGCTTTTGATCCTGTCGTTTGTCAGTCTGGCTTTATCCTGGGAAATTCACATGTTCTTAAGGGTCTTGTCATGGCACAAACTGTGAGAAGTGTGATGGCGCCTTATCAAGACAATTGTTAAACTAAGTTTCTGTGGAATTGCAGGCTGAGAAGGTATTTAATCAAGCTGTATTCTTCAAGAAGACAGTTAAGGCTGTCGGAGAACCCATGGCACACCTTGAGTCTATTGCATCCTCAGCAGTAAGTTCTTTCTGTTCCACTTGTTCTTTTATTTTACTGTGTGGTGACGTTGTACACTCATTTCGTATTTTTTTGAAAGGAGAGGGTCTTTGATACAGTTTTGAAAATTTGAGTTCAATATAATCTTCCTAGCTGCGGCTGCGTTGAATGTATGGATTGTTGAACGTCTTTATACACTCTGTTGACTATCATTGGGCTGACTGTTTCATGTTCTGCAGGTTAGGGCCGGAACAAAAGTGAGAGCCTCGGTTATTGTCGTTTTTACGTCCTCTGGAAGAGCAGCTCGGTAAGTTTTACCCTTCGTTTATCATGGGTTTGAGCTCGAATTGGCGTCATGTGGTACCATCTGCCTTATGTACCTCTTCAAACAGCAAATGACGCTGATTTTGTGATGCTTAGTTCGGTAAAATTGTTTGTTGTTAATGGAACGTTTCTTGAAATCCTGGTTGAGGCTGTACGCGCGTCCTCCTAATCAGTTTTCGTGCCCATGTCTGGGGGTCCTGCTCTTTAGAACAATCGATCTTCTTGCTTGATCTTTGTGATGAAGTAACCTCTTTGGGCTTCCTTGGATGACGTGGCCAATAGATTGATTGCAAAATATAAACCATCCATGCCCGTGCTTGTGGTGGTCATTCCAAAGCTCACAACAAATCATTTACGCTGGAGTTTTACTGGAGCTTTCCAGGTATGAATCAGCTTGTTAGCATGGATTAACGTATTAGCTTGCCACCGGTTGCCCTCGTCCTGTGCACTAGATTGATTGCGAAGTATAGGCCGTCAATGCCAGTAATAGTGGTGGTCATTCCAACACTCACGACAAATCACCTACGATGGAGTTTCACAGGGGCATTCCAGGTTGGCTGCACTGTATAAGTTGGCCATTTCCAAAGTCGATGTCGTAAGCTTTGCTTAGTCTATGCAGTTGTCTTTCATGACACGAAAGTAGGGCTTTGTGGTAATCAGTGGTCTTTTTCCTTTTCGCAGGCAAGGCAGTGTTTAGCTGTGAGGGGTCTTTTCCCAATGCTTGCAGATCCCAGACATCCGGTAAGTTCCGCTCCTCGTCCACATTCATCGGTTCCAATATTGTTTTTCGCCTCAATTGGGCATTTTGAATTAATGTATTATTGTCACGATGTAAAGTTATTGGAGTCTCACTACCTAATGAAAAGTTGTATACCATTGAGCTTTATAATAGTTTGTCGCTCTAAGCTAATAAGAGCTAATAAGCCTGTGAAATTATATGAATGAGAAGGCAGTAGGCTCTGAAACCAGGGAAAAGGAGGAGCATAGGCCTGTCAATCTTCAGTATCCTACTATGGTCAGTAGTTTGATGTACTCTATTACATGCCACGTAACCACGTGCATTTCTTTCCTGCTGTTCCTGTTTCATTCCTACTATCTGCTGTGCGAATGACCTGTTTGACACGTGAGGTTTCATGTTGGGATCGTGAGTAACTTCAAAACCCCTGGTAACGTTCTTTCACACAAAGGAAGCGCTCATCTAACCTAGCTAGAGACATGAGCGACATGAAAATATACATGTGCAAACATTAGGAGCTATGAGTAAGTGAGACCTTGAGATTTCAATATCGCTGCATTTTGAAACAGGTGCTGGCAGACTATCCTTATGTACAGCCAAAAAAAGTTCCAGTTCCAGAGGATCCAAAGCCAGTGAAACTACTTTTTGAACGAATAGTAACTTCCAGAAACAACTCAGCCCAGCCCTCCAAGGAAGCATGTGTCTAGAAGACTTTGCAATATATGCAAGCATTGAACATGCTACTGTCTTCCTTTGATTTCAAGCGACCTAAAGAATTGGAGAAGTAGAAGTTTCGAAAGAGTATCATTTGTTAAAAGTCCAGAGTGTCCTTGTAAGTTTGATGCCGTCTGGAACCTTTTAAGCAAGAGCCTGCAATAATTCCAAAGCAAATTCCCCACTGCGCTAAACTTGAGAGTAAATTGAAAATATCTAGTATCTTGAATGTCAGGGGTTGGGTTCCCTGACCCTGTGCATCCCCACGGCATACAAACTGATTTTGATTTCTATGGCGTTGTTTAGTTTAACTTGCGAGTAGTAAACAGTTGTAAGAAACGAAGAACTGACTAGAGTGGAATATTGCAGGCTGAATCATCGACTTCCACAAATGAATCAATTTTGAAGGTGGCTCTTGATCACGGAAAGGCAGCAGGCATCATCAAGGCACACGATCGCATCGTTGTTTGTCAAAAGGTCGGCGATTCGTCAGTGGTGAAGATCATCGAGTTAGACGCTTACTGATTTGAAAACCATGAACCATTGCTGGACTTCATTTCGCGTTGGCTGCTGCGCACAAGGGCTCAGGGCCATAAATAAGCTGTCACTAACTCTCGAGGACTCATGGCGCTCCTAGATGGCTTTTTAATTGGTTCTCCCGAACGAATTATTTAGGTTGTTGCGCAGCTGTTAAGTCTGAAATTTTTGTGGTGAGAATCAATTTCTCTAGGCAAATTTCAGGTTGTAAGCCATTGCCTCTTCACGCGTGAAGTTTCAGAAAACAGTTCAGCCGATCATATTATCCTGGAAATGCCTTCAGTATTCTGTAAGCGTTCGAAATTGTAGGAAGTGATCTATCTAGTCATTAGAGGGGATTAGAGGGGCTAGTTTGCAGTCCTTTTTGTAACTCTATTGTTCCATATCTAGGCAGAATGTCAAGCCAAACAGATTGCGGCGTCCATCGAAGAAAGCTCGTAGAGTGATGTGACAGTGGTTGAGTTGGAGGCCACTGGACGAGGAGGATTCATTTGTTGCCAGAGTAAATAAAGCCGAGAAGTTTTGAATTTCCCGACTCGGTTTTGGTTCATGTGAATCTTTCCGTTGGAACTACAAGCTTCCTGGCCCCTGAGTAGAAGCAGTTGTACATCGGTTAGCGTTTGTTGACATCTCAGTGGTCCCTCATCTGACTATATCCTCATTGTTTCATACATACAATGTGATGAGCTTTGTAGTTTTTGCCATTGTTATCGATAAACCTGTCACGTAGATCATAACACCATCCAAATGCGTTTGCGTGTGTATGCCCCCATATGACCGAAATGTGGCAGCGTTAAATTGCTCTTAGTTTTGCACCGATGAAAATATATTGGCATAGTCGCACATGAAAGAAGAACTTGTGCGATATCAGGTGTCATGTATTGACTTCAACTGAAACTGGAAATATGCTTCCCATTGTTTTCGGAGGGGGTTTGGATTTTCTTGTTCATGAATAGTTCTTGGCTGCTCTGTTTACCGCGATCAACTTCCTGCCCACGAACGCTTTTCTAAACGTAGAAGTTGGCGCCGTAGACGGAGGAAGCATGGACAATAGCGATCAATAAAAGTCGGTGTTATCTACAGGAACAGAACTGATAGTAATTCATATTCAGCACACAAACTGAATCGGTCCCTACTTTGTACCACTCTGCCTCTTCCTGAATCTGCAATAAACTTTCAAATTCAGCAATGGTGGAAACCTGTGTTTCTATACGCCAAGTCCAGAGTGTAAACACCGCAGGCGAGCGGTAGCATTAGCACTGGAAATGAGCATCCTTGGACTGGTTTTACCGTATCATGATTTGAAATCCCACCGATCTGTTAAGCAGTCCATGCGTCTTGGCTGCTCTCGTGCATTCAACAGGCCTGTGCACGACTGACAACGGTGGTCATAACGAGATACGTTGAGTACATCAATAATTTGGAATAATGAGAACGAGAGGTGAAAGTCATCAATCTCAAACCGAAAAGAAGGAAGGCAATTCTTGCTGATTGCATTCTCAGAATTATTATATCAAATGAGTCAGTCAATCAGACTACCTTAGACGTAGGAAAATAATATAGAAAGGTGAGAAGGAAAACTGTAGAACTGAGTGAAGGCATCCAACGTTCAAATTTGGAGATTCTTCAGTCCCTTCTGTCTAAGTAACGATCGAGCAATGTTCAACGATGGCATAGAAGACCTGGCGAGAGCAAGAATCCTGAAAATCGTGGTGGGCCTGGCTAGATGCATGATTTGTCGAAAGGAAACAAGTGCATGGGGATACAATCCAACACAGCGGAGGATGGTGTCAGTGTGCGGGAGTGTGCGTGTTGGATTTTCTGGAAGCTTTTGAGATATCAGTACCCGTTTGTATCAGGACGTTGATAGGAGAATATCAAAATGCATTTATTTTGGAGAGATTCGATGCAGAGAATTTGAAATTTGAAGTTACCGTATGGTGTGCGAGCAAATCTTCAGTGGACATTAAATCAACTGTGATTTCACTTCCACTTTCGATCAGAGAGGGGGAGGAGCAGGAGCAAGCTATGTGACTCGAGGTCCATAACTCATTGTCTTGAATTTGACACAAGAAAGGAGGTGTTGTGGAAGACGAAATCATCGCTACTGTGTCCAAGTCAACACTCTTCTTCTGTCCTTTTGAGTGGTGAGGTCCTGTAGAGTTGCTTCTTTCGGTCTCTCAGGTGCTGCTCATCGTGGGAAGTCACTCACCAAAACTAGATTCTTGCCAGAAAAGAGCCGGAGATCAGATTGTCTCATCTTTTAGATTCACTCAGTGAAATTTACTTAAATTCTTTGCTTGTGTATGTGATTTGGTCTAAGATTGATTCAATAAATTTGTGGAGAAACTCTGAACATGTTTCTTAGTTCATGAGCTTGTGAGCACAGGAGCAAGAGTTTAGTATCATCTTGAAGGTGAATGAAGCTGGAATCTGGAGGTGGGCAGTTCAGACAATGAAGGAATGATTGCATGACTTGTATCACCCTCTTGAGTGATGAAAGGCAACACGATTGGAAGTGAAAGTGATTTCTGTCAGTGATCGTGCTCCCAGTCAAGAATACATAGCGAGCCAGTGGTGGAAGCAGCGACTACTTCGTTTGTTTTTACAGATCCCAGGAACATTTGGGAGCTGATTGTATCATCAAACATACTGAAGGGGATATCGGTTTCGATGGGAACTAGTAAGATGTTCAGAGATTTGAGGTGCGCTTCTATTCTAGACATTGTGCTAGAGCGATGGAAATCAAGGAACCCTAAAAAATTTCTAAAATCTGACTCAATATAAGATTCTCTAGATTTTAGTAATTATTGAAGGCGGAGAGGCAGAATCCATCATCGCAAGTCGTCAGCTGTAGATTGCTCTCGTATAGTTAGCTAGCCTGCGAAGAAACGAGGGAGAAAATAAATTGGGCAAAATGTAGACATTTCATCGCTGATGGAGATTTTTCTCGGCAGATTTTCAGTGTCAATCTCAGGACCATTTTGTCAATAAACTTCAAGGAAACTAGAGAAGAAGTTTGACATTGAATTTTCGAAAATCTACCGGAACGTGCTTTCAATTCCACTGCAAAATGAGGCATCCGGGCCTCAGTGTCCTTTTTGCAGGAACGTTCAGGCACCATCTTCCTGGTGATCACGTGGATGAGGTATTGGGACTATTGATTATTGAAACTAGATTGCTTCATACACTTGTAAAATATTTCAGAACAGATGTTTGTGATTTGATGCACTTACAGTCTAATTCAATAATGAATTTTTATTTTTTTGAGTACACGCATGTTGTTATTCTAACATTTAGCTGTTCTTGGGCAGGTGCGATTCGATGAACCTGTGATCATCTCAGCCATAGAAATCATGGACCTTCATGCACCTGAAGTATACGAATCACTTTCGGTCTATGAGTGAGTAATTCTGCCAAACACCAGTTTCTACCAGCAGCAGCTCCTGTGCTAATTGTGAAATGCGCCAAACCTTTGAAGCAAATGTTCAGATGTTCTATCATGCCCAAAACTCATGTACCAGTTGACAGGCGGCATGAAACCTTATCACTTTAATACACAATTGCTGCTTTACAGGGTCAGGTCTAGCAATCATTGATTATATGTGACGAATCCTGACAACGAAACCCAGTCCAGATGGTGATGACAGCTGATGTCTTAATTTGGTCGGTTCATGTGCTCCAGTGGGTCTTGTCCGCAAGATTTCCCCGTGGACATATTTTTCCGCAGTGGAGGAGATGAATGCTTCAAGCGGCTTAGCCATCCCTTCCTTTATTATTCTTCAGCACCACCTTTGCTCGATCAAGATGTTGAGGTTTGGCCTTACCTAATTCTGCTTGACTCGTTTATACTAAATACTATACATGTTTCTGATCTCTTGCCAGTGTTAGTGATGGGGCGAAACCAAGTTCCATTTTGATAACTAAAGTTAAAAGAATCGACAACCTAAGAGTAATATGCGTATTGTATTCTTGTGCATATGTTCCTCCCAGTGATCGAATCATTTGCTTCTCTTGATGTATGTATGGATGTGGCGGCTTGACTTGGGTGGAGGCAGGCAACTGAGGACGATTATGGCAGTTACTGGAACCTGGAGGTGGCCGAGACGGACCACCTTGTGCTACGTGGGACACATGACTGCCTCACTATGATTTTATATGGGTACTAGTTGAAGCGAGAAAAGTGTTGAAGAACCTTTTGTTGAAATTAGCTTTCTTATAAACGAGATTAGCCTCATTGCCTTACAAAGGACCCCGAGGATTTTCTTCTACGAAAGCTCGATTTGATCAAGTACTTGTTAATGTGGAGATATAGTGACAAGTACACTTCAGTATTCTCTACCCATATCGAGTTTGGTTTTCTTGTCTCTACATATATGAATTATTGATAAAATATTTGCTAACTGAAGAAATGACGAGGATAATGCTTACGTCCAGAGTAGAATGAGTAGAATCAGCTGCACGTTTGCGTGCACACATTTCGATGGAGAGGTTTTCACTTGCTCTCAATACGATTTCTATGTAGTTAGAATAACAAGAATGAATTGCGATACAAAGAGTCGCGAGGTGCTTAAGTAAGGGCCTTGCTTGAATACATCAATGGTACTAAATACTAACCTAAGATTAAAAATCCCCATTACCACCTAGAAAATTGTGCTTAAGAGAAACATGTCTACTGATCTAAATTTTGGCTATCCTTAGTTCCCTCAGACTCATAAGTACTTCCAACACCACTTTCGAGGGAATGCTTCTATTAGTGACGGCATTGGAAACTAGTACTGGTATTATAGACCTTGCATAGATCTAACTCCCATAGCATGTCTATATTGTTCAATCTTGGGCCGAGGGAATGCATTGGAAACTAGTACCGGTATTTTAGACCTTGCATAGATCTAACTCCCATAGCATGTCTATGTTGTTCAATCTTGGGCCCAGGCAGCGGTTTAGTGAGTAAATCGGTAGGGTTATTCTCCATGTGAATATAATCAAGCTCTATCTTCCCCTCTAAAACACTTTTTCTAATAAAGTAATGTTTTGCCTAAATGTGCTTGATTTTAGCATGAAAAATTGGATTTCAAGCAAGTTTGATCGCGTCCTGATTATTGCAGGATAGATGCATGTTAGACTTGGCTGTGAGCTTAGCCAATTGGAACTTGAGTAGGAGTACGGTCGTACTGTTAGAGACAGTGGGCTGTTGCTTGCTTGCCCAGACAACAGGTCCAGAATCGAGTTAGAATAGGTAGGCAACAATTGAACACCGAGTGTTTTTGCAACTTAGATCTGCATCTATGAAACCTCAAAGCAGGGCCATGCTGGTACAAAATGTCATAGTCCTTTGTAAAATGAAGATACTTAAGTATGTGAATCAGAGCTAGCCAGTGCATTTCTGAGTAGAATGCATGAATCGAATAACCAGACTGACTGCATACGAAAGATCGGGTTGAGTATGACATAAGTAGATAAGTTTACCAACCAGGTGACAATGGGATGCATCAACATAGGGCGCAAAGTTGTCAGCCTCAATAACAATACTCACTGGTAGCAAAATGGTCTCGGTCATACCATCAGATATGAGTGCATCAGAGATCAAGTCGATTGTGTATGTTTGTTGATGCAGAAATAGAATCACCATTGGCGGAGCGATCAAAGTCAATCCCAAGGTAACGATTGACCAAACCCAGGTCTTTTATTTTAAAATTAGCACCCAATTGAAGTTTGATTTCTGCAACTCCGAAGTTACTACTTCCAAAGATGAGAAGGTCATCTACATATAGCACGAGCACAGTAACTATAGAAACTTTCTTAGAGTAAATACCAATTCGAATGAATTTAGCTACAGTCCCATCTAGAGGCACGAAGGTAGGTATCTATCTGAGCATACCATTCTCTAGGGAAGTATTCAAGCCGTATATGGATTCAAGAAGACGACATATCTTGTCTTCATGGCCCTCAACTTCAAAACCCGGAGGTTGTTGCATGTATGTAACCTCCTTAAGCTTTCCATTAAGAAATGCAGTTATAACATCTATGTGGTGGATGTCCCACCCTAGAGATACTGCAAGTGCAATCATAGCTCGTAAGTGGACCAACAATTCACGGGAGCAAATTTTTTGTTGAAGTTCACACACGTACACTTAAAAAATGCGTTGGACAAGCAGATTCACATCTTTTACAACCTACACAATCTTCTATTCGAGGCACCAAACTGTTGCTCCAGACTTCGTGCACCCAATCTCGCTTTTAGTTGGTAGCACTCAGGATTGGTCTCTTGCTTGGTTTTATAGACCCAGCAAGAGGATAAAGTCTTGCAGCCAGGAGGTAGGTGGATTAAATCCCAGGTCAGATTTTCAACCAAGGATTCAAACTCTTCACGCATAGCACATTTTCAGCCTTTGTGGAGTTTAGCCACATTGAACAAAATTTTATCATCCACCATCTCAGCTAATTTGATCAAGTTAAGAAACTTCTTGCCTGTCATGTGAAATTGGTCGTAGTAACTAGGCAACCTACGATTTTGGAAATAATTGCGCCTTGATAGTGTGCTGTGAAAAGTTGGTAACAAGTCTGTCGATGACTAAGACAAGCTTGCAGAAAGATCAAGCACCTTTGATGAAAGTGGCTTGGACCGTGGTGGTGATGGCGGATTGGTTTTGGGTGGTTCGATCACTGTTTCGTCTTCGTAATTGTCCATACCTCGAAAGACATCCAAAAATTCTTGTTGGAACTTGAAAATGCCTAGTGTGTCTTCAAAGAAAACTACATTGTTGGAAATTACTACTTTTCTTGTTGTGAGATCCCAACAAACGATACACACGAGAGTTTTCATCATAATCAAGTAGCACTCCACGAAATGCTTTGAACTCCAATTTAATTAACTTTGTTTGAAGTTATGCACATATACAATGCATTCAATTGTCCGAGTATGTGAAAGATTGGGTATTGAGCCAAACATTTTTTTCAAAGGTAGTAGAAAAGATTAGTGTTCGAGTAGCACATCTGTTACGTACATAGTTGATCACTTGTATTGTTTCTGTACAAAGGTGGGCAGTGAACTTATAGCAGTTAAAGATACATCAAGTAGATCCAATAAGTCTACAGTTCTTTTGCTCAAACATCTCATTCTGATGCGGGATGTAGGACGTAGTCAGCTGGCGATGAATGTCTTTACTAGTGCAATAGTCTTTGAAGGCAGTCGATGTGTATTTCACTCTTGATCTAAGCGGATGTTGGAGACTTTATGTGATCAGTCATGGTCACAAAAGATAAGAGTAGATACCTTATGCGAAAGTAATGTCTTCACAAGATCAACAAAATGTTGGAACAAGGTGAGAGTTTTGCTCTTTTGTTTCAAAAAATATAATCAAGTAAACCGTGAATAGTCGTCGGTGAAAGTGAAAACATAACAATAACAAGTTGACTGTAGCGGGCCACACTGATAGCTATGTATGAGCTCGGTAGTCTTAATAGCTCGATTTGTCGATGTCTTCATCTTAGCAGAGCGATGATGTTTGTTGAGGACGCAAGATTCACATTGTCGCTCCTTCTTGACTTGGAAATAAGACACGTTATCCACAAGATTTTTGCAGTCATGTGGTGGGCGATTTGATAATTCAGGTGACATAATCTCTTATGTCTCATATCGATAGAGTCCACATGCGTCGAAGGGATTGATGGGAACTTTTCAAAATCGCCAACAAATTTGGGAAGATTTGATGGCCTTAGGACTTTACGAGCAAGTTGAAGCTAGGATGGTAGCAATCTTCGAGAAGAAGCTCAAACTACATACAATCCATTTTGAGTATCAAGGTTAGTTCAAATATGCACGATTCTATTATTTAAACGTTTTGTTACTATACAGAGCTTATTGTTGAACCATACGTGATGTACTAAGTCCGTAAGTTTTCAACGAAAGCAGATTCCGAGTCAAGGCTGACACATACTTACAACCTTTGATATCTTTATTGTTGTCAAGAATTACATTGCCAATGCCTACAATAGGTAGACAAGCATCACTGGAAATGATGATGCTTGATGAAGAAAGTTGTTTGTGATAATGTATTAAAATATTTCTATTGACTGTGACATGGAAGCTAGCTCTTGAATCCATTATAAATTTACGGGAATCATTGGAAACAAGGTTAACCTCCTCATCAAAATTATCTATGTCAATGATCTATCCCCTCTGCAACGTTAGTTTGAATCTTGGCACGGCGCATGTTGGCAACGCGAATTCGTAGCTGGGAAATTGTTTCATCCATTTTCTTGAAGTGACAATCACGTTTAAGGTGATTGGTCTTACTGCAATATTCACAAGGATCATATCTAGCTGCAAGCTTGTCATAACGAGAAGAAGTGAAATCGTTTTCCCCCTGCGCAAAACGGCGTGAAAGAAGAACAATGTTTCCACTTGTTGTGGTGATCATAGCAAGATTTGGTAAAACGAGTATAAGTAGACTTCTCTTCAACAACAGCCCGGTTGTTGTCGAGCATGAACTATTAAGATTGCATGCGGGCAACCAGCTCTGGATGGATTGGCGGTGGTCTGCAATCGAGGTCATCAATAAATTGTGAAACAAAATTAAGCCATGAACTGGATAATTGATGTAGAATGATATGAATAAGGTTAGAGTGGTTAACAATGTGGACCAAAGAGAAACACTCGACCAAAGCAGACACGCCAATATTGGCCAGTTGACCGAACAAGGTGTCAACAATCTATTAATGTTCCTCAACGGAAGAGACTTCAGACATTCACAAGTTTTTGAGCTTCGTTGTCAAAGTGAGGCAATGTTGATTGTTGCTCGACGCATAACGACAGCGCAAATGAGTCCAAAGCTCCGCAGGGTTCTCTTCGTAAGCAGTAATGGAGGAGAGGATTTTGTTGCTTTAATTGAGGATGTCGTTGAAGCTTGGAAAATAGCAATAGCTCTGTAGCTTGGGCGTAGATCGCGAGTGGGCTCCGGCGAAGACCGAGAAGCGGTGTGGGATTGAAAGTCATTGACAAAAGGGTTTAGAGTCCCATGCATCTTTGGTGCGTAGTGTAATCTTAACTCGTGTGGAACAGTTGAAGTAGGTATCGCGCGCTATCATCTTCTCGTCATCCGAAAAATGGGAAATTTGCTCCATGTCAGAGTTAGTGATTAGTTCGTGATAAAAGTCAGAGTGGGGATATCACAGTACTAGGAAGAGCTCTACTGAATGCTACGGAGAGACAATAGAATGGCATTGACAACTGCTAATGCCAAAGGAGTGTGAGAATCAAAGTATCTAGTGCGAAAAGTGCATGACAGAGATATCGTAAACACAAATCTGATACCATGTAGTTAAAATAACAAGAATGAATTGCTATACACAGGTTGGCGAGGTGCTTAAGTAACGGCCTTGCTTGAATACATCAATGGTCCTAAATACTAGCCTAAAATTAACAGTCCCGATTACCACCTAGAAAACTGTGCTTAACACAAACATGTATACTGATCTAAATTTGGCTATCATTAGTTCCCTAGGACTCATAAGAACTTCCAACATTCTACACGTACTTGGGACCTCGAACGAATTGCAACTCCCATACGTTTGTGGAACTCCTTTTGTCATTCTTTTCTACATTTGATAGAGACGCTAACGAAAAGTGCATTGGGTTATTCCTGTCGAATAGATCGAAGCTAAACCGAATCTGAATCCAAATTCACTGTCATAAAAGCGATTTTGAAGATGGCATGCGAACTCTTGCCCTACCTTCTGACATGACTCGAACTATTGATACATAGCTGGTGCAGATGACACACACACTGAGCTCGAATGAAGTTCAGGATCTTTTGCTGGCTTTCTCCTTGAATGGTGAAACATGAACCCAAGCAACGTTCGAAAGTACTCTTTCATGTGGGCTTTTCGTTGATATTCAAGGGCTGTTGGATAACTGTCCCCCAAGCATAAAGGATGATGAACGTGTCAATGGATGGCAGTATAGGTCAACAGAAGTTCATAAAGCTGACAGAAGAAGTTCAGAAAGAGCAAATATGGCATGAAAAGAAACAATGGCGGCTGTTACTGCTGCTCGTTCTTGAGACGGAATGAGAACCTCCTGTTCAAAACAGCTGTCCTAGTCTCAGTCGTATGAGAGTTGCCAAAGTTGTGTGTATGGTTTGGAGTGAGGAATGGAGAACGTCGCACCATGAAGCATGTGTGGAGAAGGATGGAAGCAAGCAAGCAAGGAACGAGAAGGTGCTTCTTTGCACCGAAGGTGGAGTGGAGAAGATGATTCCATTGGATGAGACTGAGATATCCCGCAGATGATGATGATGACGACGGATCTTCTTCTCCTCTCTGTAGCGTCACCCGTTGAAGGCTGGCTCATCAAGGCCTGGGTTGGCTTGGCTTGAGAGTCCTGAATGCCATAAATTAGATCATAAATCGACTGGATCGAGAAACCTTTTGGACGAGGTACAAAAGTGAGCAAGCCAAGCGAGGTGAGGTGAGGGGAGAGGAGGTCAGTCAAATGAGGTACATCTTGGAATCTGCTCCATGGCCTTTCAGATGGAAAATTGGGAAACTCGAATGAAGATGGAAACTGTGCTTATCCCAGTACAAACAGAACAGTGCTCGCTCATCTCACTTCGTCAACAACTTTCAGAGTTTCGTGCATACAATAACCAGGAGTTTGGATTTGCACTCCACCTGAGCCGATCTCGGTGAGCTTTTTGAGAATGATGAGGTCTCGGGACAGTTGTCCGTTTGAGAATGGGCATCGGATTTCGAGTCCGGCATCCCAAAAGTACAGAGAGCCAAAAAGTGGCATAAAGCACTCGAGGCATGAGAGGAGGAATTTGCGACTGCTTCCACGTCGAGCAGGATGTTTACAACTGGCAGCAAATGTTGGCCGGATCCAGAATGATGCAGCCCCAGCTCTCGGATGGCTCGGGAGAAAGTGAGGTGCCGATTCCTCTCCAGCACGAAGATCTTGGCTTTTGGAACGTCGAGCAGTACGACAGAGGGACAGACAGACATACAGACCAACCGACCGTGGCCACACTTTCCGAGCTCAACATTTGTTACTGCGAGGAAAGATGTGCCATGCATTCATTAAGTGAACGTAGACTTGTCAGATTGTTCGGAGAAAGAAATAATGTGCAGGCTTGTAAGGAGCAGTCAATCCGTGAGGCCGCAGGAGCGTTCAATTTGAAGCTCAATGCATCTCATCTCATCTCTTCGGAGAGGCTCTAACATCAGTTCTTCTAATCTGTTTCCACCTTCATTTCCGAAGAATCGATATGTGAAACCCGGACATGCCTAGTCTTCTCTCGTGGGCACAGAATAGTTGAAGAAGAAGAAGATGATGATGATGATGATCAGTTGGATGTGTGAGAGCAATGCATCGAGCTGGTTCTCGGTCTTCATACAAGCGGACTTTGAGCACAACTTTAAAAAGTTTCAGGACTAAAAGTCAAATCTGTGCTCAGTACATTGCAAAGCTAGCGGGCATGATGTCATTGACTGAATTGAATGATGATGATGATCAAAAATCACTCGACAGTGCATTGACAGTAACCTGGAGGGAACCGCCAAGGTTAAATAAAATATATGCTTCAGGTGGTTCGGCTCAGTATGGTGCAAAAGTTCGTCCCATGAAGTGAATGGTCACCATAATTTGATCGACAGTACTTGGAAGAGGCAATCGAAGGTTATGTTAGAATTATGCTTCAAATTGTGAGTCAGTCGAATGAACTCCCATCACTCACTGACTGAACTGGCAGCAGAAGAAATCGATCGACAGGATGACGGATGGGGTCCTGGCATTCGCGGAGAACGAGGTCACAGTTCGGTCAGCGATGGAGGCACCATAGCTGGAATCCGGTACAGTACAGGAACCTACCCTGTCCTATGCTCCGACGACGATGAAACATACTGTCTCAGTGTGGTGCTCAGAGACGCACGCAGAGCATAATCCAATGATTGTCAAACTGTCCTGTGCCTGAGTTGTTAGCTAGACTCGGTGCTCAGAGACGCACGCAGAGCATAATCCAATGATTGTCAAACTGTCCTGTGCCTGAGTTGTTAGCTAGACTCGGTGGACTGCTAGACCTGTGACAGTGAGAGCTCGGGTCACGATGAAGGTGCGCACCTCCCCGTCTCAAAGAGAACGTAGTTTCTCGACCAATATCAATGCTCTGGTGAATTATCGTGAACCATCTACTGGAGCTGGACTCGACTTTCATACCGCCAATTTATCTGTCAATTGAGTATTTAGACAGGGCTCTCCACTAATCCTGAGAAAGAATATCACGGTGGTGTGTATTTTTACCACGGTGGGAATGGGAACAAAGCCATCTATCCATCTATCCATCCATCCGTCTTTTAGTACAGTAGAGGAGATAACTCTTGTGTGTCAGATCCATTGAACCGAGCATTTGACCTTGCTCGGCAATTTGACCCTGCTTCGAAAAGGTGATATACGCCCAGAGTCTAGAGATGGTCAAATACTTGAAATGATGAGAACTGAAGATAGGTGAGGGGAGAAATCTGCTAGTGAGTGCGTAAGTAGTCAGCTGGAATCAGTTGAGGCATCATAAAATGAAAACATGGCGTTTCATCGAGGCAGGCAGGCAGGCAGGCATGCCCACATGATCATAACCAGAGTATCAGAGGCTCGTGTGACTAGATCTTAAAGTTTGAATCCGCGGCCTGTCAAGTCAAATATAGCGAAAGACACGGACTCCATAGCGGCTGGAATCTGCTGCCGCCCGCAGCTCGTGAGTCATTTGAAGAAACAGTGGGTCATGTGTTCGCCTTCAACAAATCGAACCTGGTAACTCATTTCCGTCTGACAGAGTATAGCACTCCTCGTGCCGTTCATGGTGGCGGTGATAAATACACAGACTACTAATTTAGTCACCATCGATACTGTCGCAAGGTGTGTGTAAACTTGGAGGTAGGGGGCGGGGAAGAAATCGGAGGAAAAGTTCATCGCCTCGTCTTCTAACATGGGAAGGAAGTGAAAAGAGCTGTGTCATGTGGGTAATGAATGCATCGTAGGGCCTCCAAGTTCTACTTTTCTTTGCTCATGGGCGATGAACGCCATCTGACGCATTTCCAAAAGCGAACGAACGAGACGCTTTGCGAGTCCCAGAGATCGAGAGAGAGAGAGGGAGAGACAGGAAAGATTCGTTCTGTTCTCCCAAAGTTCAACAGCTCTCGAAAGCTAATGTAGCCTCGCTTTCGTATCTTCTGCTTCTGCTCCTCGTTCGTTTTCATCTTCCTCCATGTCCGGGGACTGAACCTGAGGATTTCCTTTGAGAGACCATGATAAGACATCTGAAGGCCAGAGCGAAGACCCTGCCGGCCAAAATATGTGTCCCTCGTTCCGCAAACCTCTGGATGCTACGTGGTCCAAGCTCCACAATACACCTCCAGCTCGTTTTCGGTGTGTTGTCCCGGTTTAACTGCCCGCCCAGCCTGCCTCCATGCCTGCCTGCCGCATTCAAGCCACTCGAATCCAACAAAACTCAGCTCATCATTGCACAGAGCAAGCAGAAACAGAAACAGAGGAGAATGATTAGTGAAAGAGCACATTATAGCCAGCATTCATTCGCTCTCACGTAAGTGGAAATCGTGAGCTGCGCTTCACAACAGCTCAATCTCACACTCATCTTCATCCTCATCTGCTACAACTCGCACTGCAATCGTCCTTCTGAAAAAAGGTGCGCGGAATAACCTTCGGACTGCACTTCAGAGCAGCAGTCATGGCCTAGCAGCAGTCATGGCCTAGAAGCTGGGCTTTGGTAGTTGGTTTTGTTTGGATTTCGTTTGGCTTTGGCGGATCTGTCGCAGCTGAAGGCCTTTGGCTTTCGGCCATAATTGCACGTATGGCCAAGGCCCATCGAGTGAGCTAGTGAGGGTAGCGGTGAACTAGTGGACAGGGAGACCTTTTTCTCTGTGAGCGAGAGCGAGTGAAGTCAAAGTGCCTGCGGCTGCTTGGTGCTGCTGCTGGTGCAAGAGCTGTGCATGGGTCATGGATGGATTCATGGTGCTTGCTGCTTGCTCGACCTCTTTTCGCACAGTTGAACAAAAGCCACTTTTCTCAATCGCGAGTCACGTGGTTCAGTTCGTTCAGAGTCCGTTCAGAGCTATGGATGTCGAAGAAGAAGAAGAAGATGCTGAGTTCGAGCTCGGATGCTGATTCTCGGCATCTCTATCTATCTATCTATCTGTCTGTCTACCTGGAGAACCGGATCTTGCCTCGTATGTATCTGATTATGAATATGGGCCTTCGTATTCATGCAAAGCTACGGACGTTTACTTCGAGGAACATCGTCAGTGCCTATGTCGATGTCGATGGACGGACGAAGATTCCTCGCTCGTCCAGGTTAAACCTCGATCGATCGAGCTCACAGTCCGTGCGAGAGGATCATCCGAGGACGATGTCCGCACATCAGCAGCACCGACCGAACGAACGAAACTGTGACCGGCATAATCGATTTCTGCTGAGTGTTGTCGTGCTACCCCTTCGCATCTCACTGCACTGCACTGCATTTTCTTTCTTGCTCCGAACACCCTTCTCCACATTCTCCTCCTCTTCTGTTTCATGTTCTCCCTCCGGACGTCAGACATCAGCCCAAGGACATCAGCGAGAGCTGGCCTCTGCTTCTAGCCTCTGCTCTGCTCTGCTTTGCCCGACGCCTTCAAGCTCCCAGCGCTGCTCTTAACGAAATCCACATTTGTGCTCTGCTGCCGGAGCCGGAAAGCGAGGCACATTTCGTCGTCCCGTGACAATTCCATCAACCTTGTCGTCTATGGATGAAGTGCACTCGTCTTTCGTACTGCCAAGGAGGCATAACATTCGAGCTGCTCGAAGAGCACGACGACCACCACCACCTCGAAGAAAGTTCCTTCGTTTGTGAGTGACGGTGTCTCGATCAGTATTCCGCCCGTCTCGAGAAGAGGCTTCAGACGAGCAGACAGAAAATCTGAATTAAAGAAAGACCGAACGAACGAACTCCGAGTCTTTCTCTCGAATGTACACTCTCGTGTCCGGAATGCAGGACTCGACATTCGTGGATCAGAAGGACTGCGCATGGATCTCACGGACGGAGGTTCTGGAAGTCCAACAAGTCCCGCGGTGAGTGCTGCATCGATCGGTAGGTGTGGACAGGCAAAATGCAAAACGTACAATGCCCAACGCACAATGCGGGAGAGGAGGCCGAGACGATTTGCGGTAGGCGATGGTTCAGTGCAGACTCGCTCGCTCGTCTGCAGGGCTCTTGCGGTGCGACGGCGGACGACGCGATTCTGAACATGTTGCAGCGAGTCCGATATTCCCCGAGGCAGCCATAGCCATGCATGCAGTGATCGAACGACCGAATGGCCTCCTCCTATAGGTGTTTATGTATAATTTCGGTATCGTACCATTGTATTTAACAGAACTCCCAAACCATACATAGTAGAATCCCTAGGAGTCAGCACAAGTGGGTTGCTACGAGTGTAAGATTTCAGATTTGTCATAGACTCTACTCGAAATGGTGAAGATCTATTTGGGAGAAGTTGGAAGCTTGATTGCGAACATGGACCTGAACTTGAAGAATATCACGTCCACGAGGTGGTGGTACCAGTGATGAATTTGACCACATTGACATTTCTCAGGGGTTGAAAGGCATGAGGAGGATATCTTCGAGGCCGAGGAGATGATTGTCGAGGGTAACATCTACGAATGATAACATACGGGTTTGGGTGAGTGTTGTATAATATATGTGGTATTATACGGTATTATACTACGCAGTCCGCGAAGAATCCAATTATAAACCCATATCTCCTCCTCCTCATCGTATTCCACCTGGTCGGAGATCTTCTGAGCGCCAAATAATTCACTTCAGTTCCTCGAACTAATTGACGCCCGACGATCTCTTTGCGTCTCGAGCCTCTGCCTCCCTCGACCAGAGCAAGCATGGGATTCCACTCCTCTCGACGATGATTTCGATCACCGGCGTCTGCATGGCGTTCGTTCTGGTCACGTAGCCAGGCCTGCAAATTCTGCCCCGCTAGCGATCGCCAGGTTTAGCAATCATCCACTTGTACTTTTATTAATTATTTCTTTGATTTTTTATATGTATTAAAAAAAAAAAAAACGTCATGTCATTGGCATTTCAATTTTATTTTTCCGGCCATCTCTGCGGCGTCTCTCCGCGTCGCCTTTGCTTGCCTGAATGGTATTTCACACACTTGAAAATTGGCTCTCATGTGAAAAAAAACGAACATTATATTATTGAATATACTAATATGATATTCATTTATCGACTTTGCAAAAATTTGTAAATTTTTTAGGCTTGTCGATAAGTACAATATGAGGACGATAAGTTTTATCTTTATTTGAATTCCATGCAGAACTTTCGATCAAAATGGATTTGCAAAAATAATTTTGTCTCACGTGGTACGTAGGTACGTAGAGATGACAAGGATAACTGAACGTGAATCGACAGAAGTGAGAAATGACTGCTGTGATTGTTACAAATATGACGATGATTGGAAAGTTGTAATAATCATGTGTGATCTCTGTTGCCGGTTATTCTTCTCGATGCCTTTGTCGTCATAGATAAGTCCTAATTACCATGCGCATATAATTCACTTCCTCATTGGAATTCTTTGTGTACTGCTTAATATTGTGTACAATATTACAGATTAAAATAGAATAGTTTTTTGAGTTTGCAGAGATATAGATTATCATTCACACAAACTAGGAGGGTAACTTTGTATTGCGAGTATGTAGATCTCGAAGTGCCATTCCAAAATCCAAATGGTAATTTTTCTCAAAGTTTATTATCGTAAGAACCAAATTCTAGAGAAGTGATATATTGATAAGATTAAAAATCCTAGGCAGAAAAGTTAAGTGGAGTTACAAATACATTGATCATTTTTTGCAAGAAAAAATTGAAATCGCTTGTTAACTTATGTGTCAAATCAACTTGATGAGGAATCTGATATATGAAAAGTTGAAGACGAGTAAAATAAACATGCGTGGCAAATCTTTTCAACACATGTGGTTTAGGATGATAATAGTTTGAACCATTTTAGAATCTATACAAAGTCACATTACAAGTATTCACCCGAAAAGGTTGTATCTTTTGACTTTTTATTGTTAACATTCTGCATACAAAAACTGCCAATTACAATTCGCTTTTTGCATACTTTGAAGCAGTAGGATCTTCCTTCTTCCTGGTTCAAAATTAATGAATCATTATTTTTCAGCTAACGTAAAATTGTTGATGCTTATTCTCTTGCCATCAATGTATGTGAAAAAATTGTTTTAGCATGTAGCACTTCCTATATGACTTTCCAAACATTCCCTTTTTTTCTCGCTTTATAATTTAAACATCTTGCAATGAAAGCTTTAATCACCTTCAAACATAATCATTTAACATATACTCAAAATAACTTGACTAATGTCAAAATAAAATTTTTCAATGTTATCAATATATTTAAACTTTTTGAATAAGTGTTTTTTTTCATGGCACAACTAGACCTGTTTTGTTATTGAGAATTTTTCCCATAAATATATTAATTTCAGCTGAAAATTATTCGCTCAAGGAATGAGAAAGAAAGCCTGCAGATGAAAGCTTGTAATCGTACCTCAGGATGGAATGTGGAGGTAGGAATCTTGATGACACTTGACTCTATCTCACCGAATCTCATTGACCTGAAATAGAGCATCAGAAACTCATCTCCTCGGGGAAAAGAGCTTCACTTTAACGTACGCACTTTCTCGTAGCAAATGCTGTCCACTCCTCGTCGTTGACAAGCTTGGATGAGTCGCAGTTCAGCTCATATTGTGGTGCTGAGAAAGGAGGCTCTAACGCTGGACAATGATGAACGTCAAAAGATTAAAGCAAAACCATCCGAATTAGGAGCAGAAGTCAATCTGAACATTAATAAAAAGCTCCTCGCTTGAATCGCAATTTACCCACGCTTACCGACAGTTATCGAAATACAATGGACATCAAAACATTTCGAGACTGTATGCCACGCCAAGATTTCCTGCTCAGGTCAAATCGATGCCCGGAAAGCATGCTGGCAGAGGAGACGAGACGAGAGGGGTGGAGTGGAGTGGAGGATGAGGAGGAGGGAAGTCATGGAAGTAGTCGTCCACGGGCCAAGCAAGAGATGAAGTGTTGAAAGAAGGCGGACGAGGGACACACTTTCTCGAGGAAAGCAGCGCAAAGTGGAGCGGAGCTCGACATCTATACAAAAACAATCGGAAGGAAGGGAACATCATAAATTCCACGAACACAACAGGGCAAGACAAACGAGACAATCCGCTGAGATTAGAGCATTCATTGCCCGCGTCGCGGGGTAATCATCAGCTTCGATTCGACAATCTTCGGATCTCGAAGGCGAAGTCATCGCCTTCAGACTCACATTCATGCTCCTCGAGAATGAGTTAAAATCCACCGCCATTTGCCAACCCTAAAAGGCGAGCTCAGCCCCAGAATAACCCGTCGACGTTACCTGCTGGCGTCATGGCTCCGGTGACCTGACGCGTATAGTATGCCTCGCAAAGCACGTACACCACGCACGGTATGAAGACGGTCCGTCGCATCTGTCATACGGTATTGCACTACTGGGCCATGGAAAAATCGAAATCGAGTGTGTTGACGTCTATGTATTCTTTCGTTTGTACTTTAATAATGGCAGCCTCTCCCCTTTTTGAAAACGATTTATTATTTTTTAGAATATCCTCTTTTGAATATGACCAGTTATTCTTTCGAAATACTCAATCGTACTCATCGGGATGTCTATTGTTAGCTGTAGAGTATAATGACATGCTACATCTTCCTGGAGCATGGAGTTCGTGTATTTATACGATATACAAATATCCTACACGTGTTCACTCCTGCAAAGTCCGATTATTATTTTTTATAATTTATAAAACGGGGAAAACATCAATATATGCTGACACCCTTTGCACTTTAAGTGGAAGAAATTTTCCGCAGTTTTAAGAGTGATTGTGTTAAATATCAATATTAATGCTCTGTATCTGTGTCGTAAATAATCTCAGAAGGGCAATACAGAACCATCTGAACTGCGCAGGTACGGTATTCCAGTACGAGATACAATGCGCTGCGTATGCGGAGAAGAACGTGACTCTTTTATCGGTCATCATGCTCCATCACCGCCCGATACCAGTCACCCTCACCTCGACTCACGGAGTGTGCGGAACGCAACTCTCCACGAGGTCACTCTTTCGGATAACGTGGCGGCCAACCATTCGCTCCTTCGGACAACCTATCCCCCAGAGGTCATTGCCCTCCGATCCCGTCCACGTGTGCACTCCATCCCATTCACCGGCAGTCATGGCATGTCGAAAGACCGGCCAAAGTTCGCGCTGGAAGGGAGCGGGACTTTACTTCCGTACGCTTGAAGTCAAGTCCGTCCTCCTCCCGCCCGATTTAAAGTCAGGCCGCTCGTCGCTTCCTCGACTCACGCCATCCTTTTCCTTCTGGCTCTCGGCGTCTTCCTTCAGATTAAAGTAGTGTCAGTGACAACATAAAGTGAAGGAAACTGTAAGCGCAGTCAGATCGACCTCGATCCGAGGAGAGCGAGAAACGGTCACCGACTGCTGCCAGGTCAGCACCCCAAGGCAAGGCAAGGCAAGAGCAGATCCTCGAGGCTCCACGAAGCAAAGGAGGCAAAATGAATGAAAGAAAATCTGCGCTTCTACAGTCGAAGAATTAGCCGAGATAATATTAAAATAATTTACGGATTCACTTTCATAAAGCAGTGCAGTGCGGAGCTGAAAAAGCACATTCCATTCCATTCCATTCCACTCCACTCGAGCTTCTCAACCAACCTTGACCATACTCGGTCGCAAGGTCCAGTGATATGATCGTGAAGTCCGTGATCTGATTCTTTCAGGCCTCGAGAAGCTTCAAGCGACGGCTCTGTCGTTGGGTAGTTAGTGCTTGATTACAAGTGATCGCTGATCATGTTTGCAGGGAGGTTTTTCGCATTCCGTTCAGCCGAGGCTTTCTTCTGGATCTGATTCCTTCCGGGCCTCGTGAAGTTCAGAGCGTCGGCCCTGTTGTCGGTTAGCGTGTACTCGATTACGTGTGATGCGCTCGCTGATCGTGTTTGCGAGGAGATTTCTGCACCCCCTGCAGCTGAGTCTGTCGATTTTTTTTTCTTGGTGGATCGAAACACTGAGAGCTGTGAAAATGCATGCTGTGTTTCGTCCGGGGCTTTCAGAGGGCCAAAGTTGAGCGTGAGCGTGCGCATGCATGCACCGCTCGGGGATGGAACGTGAGTTGCGCGAGGTTTCCATGGCGAACCACCCCGGCGGGACTGTTTCTGTCCTGTGCTTATCATCGGCCGCCATGTGATTTCTCGTCTTAGCGTACGACTTTCTCTCTCTGTGTGTTGGGATTGTTGTTTTGCTTGAACGCTGTGAACTCGTACAAGAGTGAGTCATTGATTGGTTGGTGAAGCCAGTCAGTCGTACGCAACTCCATTGAGGCCTGGAGAGAAGACACATTTTCTTGCACTTCAAATCGGAATGGGACCTACTGTCGCTGGAGATGGAAAGGTGTTCCATCCTTATTCATGTCACTCGCAGAGGTTTCTGCGAGTGACATACTACTCGCGACATTGGGAGACAGCCGGCGGCATGATCCGACGTGAGTTTTCGTACGTGGACTTCCATCCTCCTGATTCTGAAGTGGTCAATATCTGATACATGGAAGAGTGGAAAGGTTGGATCGAGAGAAGCGGAGAGAACAGGACCTTTTCGATCACGTTCTTATGCAAGAATGTGCAGCAGTAATGAGGAGTTCGCGTACTACAAGCTTGCTGACTTCATATGGCTAGACTGCCCAGAGAACACCTATCACTGTGCCGTCATCACATTATATTGATGGGCTCCATCGTCCGAAAAGTCTCAGCATGTGAACGAAAAGTGGAACTTTGAATTATTCAATCCATGAGTTTCAAAACAGAATAAATTATGAATAAAACTCAAGCAGTGATAGATCTATGAGCAAGAGAAATATTGGGTTCATGAACTGGAGAGGGTTCTTCTTGAGAAATTTTTCCTTCACATAATTATATATTGTCTACGTGCAGTA